GGAGTCATGGCTGATTGGAGAGGTCCCATTGGACTGGAGGGTGGAAAATGTGACACCCATCTACAAGAGAGGCAGGAAGGAGGATCCAGAAAACAACAGACCTGACAGTCTGACCTTGGTGCCAGGGAAGGTCATGGAGCAGGTCATCTCAAGTGCTATTACAAGTCATGTAATGGACAACCAGGGGATCAGGCCCAATCAGCATGGGTTTATGAAAGTTGGGTCCTGCCTGACAAACCTGATCTCCTTCTACGACAGGGCAACCTGCTTATTAAATGAGGGAAAGTCTGTGGATGTTGTCTTCCTTGACTTTAGTAAGGCCTTTGACACCGTTTCCCACAACATTCTCCTGGATAAACTGGCTGCTGGTGGCTTGGCTGGGCACACGCTTCGCTGGGTAAAAAACTGTCTGGATGGCTGGGCCCAGAGAGTTGTGGTGAATGGAGTTAAATCCAGCTGGCGGCTTGTCACGAGTGGTGCCCCCCAGGGCTCAGTTTTGGGGCCACTCCTGTTTAACATCTTTATTGATGATCTGATGAGGGGATCGAGTGCACCCTCAGTCAGTTTGCAGACAACACCCAGTTGGGTGGGAGCGTTGATCTGCTCGAGGGTAGGGAGGCTCTGCAGAGAGACCTGGACAGGCTGGAGCCATGGGCTGAGCCCAACTGCATGAGCTTCAATAAGGCCAAATGCCAGGGGCTGCCCTTGGGCCACAACAACCCCCAGCAGAGCTACAGGCTTGGGAAGGAGTGGCTGGAGAGCTGCCAGTCAGAGAGGGACCTGGAGGTGTTGATTGACAGCTGGCTGAACAGGAGCCAGCAGTGTGCCCAGGTGGCCAAGAAGGCCAATGGCATCCTGGCTTGTATCAGGATTAGTGTGGCCAGCAGGGACAGGGAAGGGATCTGACCCCTGTACTCGGTACTGGTGAAGCCGTACCTCGATGAGTGGGTTCAGTTTTGAGCCCCTCACTACAAAAAGGCCACTGAATGACTCGAGCATGTCCAGAGAAGGGCAACGGAGCTGGGGCAGGGTCTGGAGCACAGGTCTGCTGGGGAGCAGCTGGGGGAACTGGGGGGGTTCAGTCTGGAGAAGAGGAGGCTGCTCCCTGACAGGAGGGTGCAGAGAACTGGGGATGGGTCTCTTTAACCAAGTAATAAACAATAGGACAAGAGTTAATGGCCTCAAATTGTGCCAGGGAAGGTTTAGACTAGATATTAGGAAGCATTTCTTTGCAGAAGGGGTTGTTGGGTGTTGGAATGGGCTGCCCAGGGCAGGGGGGGAGTCCCCATCCCAGGAAATGTTTAAGAGTAGAGTCGACATAGTGCTGAGAGATATGGTGTAGTTGGGAACTGTCAGTGTTGGGTTAATGGTTGGACTGGATGATCTTCACGGTCTTTTCCAACCTAGACATTTCTGTGATTCTGTGTCAGAAGGCCAATTTGACATCTGTGTTTTTTGTGCCGTTTTCTAGCCTATGGGCATCTTCTCCATCCTGGAAGAGGAGTGCATGTTCCCCAAGGCAACTGACACCTCTTTCAAGAACAAGCTCTACGACCAACATCTGGGCAAGTCCAACAACTTCCAGAAGCCCAAGCCTGCCAAAGGCAAGGCTGAGGCCCACTTCTCCCTGGTGCACTATGCTGGCACAGTGGACTACAACATCTCTGGCTGGCTTGAGAAGAACAAGGACCCCCTGAATGAAACTGTCATTGGGTTGTATCAGAAATCATCACTGAAAACACTGGCATTACTCTTTGCCTCTTATGGTGGAGAAGCAGGTCAGTTCTATAAAATCTTTAGGTTCATCCATGCACAATGTAAAGTGAGAATCACAAATTAAAATGTGGTTGGTTTTTTTTTTTTTTTTTTCAATTGTGTAGAAAGTGGTGGTGGGTAGAAAGTGGTGGTGGCAAGAAAGGTGGGAAGAAGAAGGGTTCTTCCTTCCAGACTGTCTCAGCACTTTTCCGGGTAAGTATAGAATTTGTTATCTCTGCTGAATGGAAAATAAACTCCCTCGAAATCTGAATAGTTCTTGGTTCTAGTTTGGTAAACTGTAATCATAGTTCTTTTAGAGTTCTTATAGCAAGGAAATCCATCATGTCATTTAAACTCTCTTGCAGTGAATGCAAAGCTTATCCCTTTATCCCCTACTTTCCAGTGAAGGAGTTAGCTATCATAATAGAATTGTCTTATATAGTCTAGAAGCCTTCTTTCCCTCCTTTAGATTTAAAGTGAAATATAATCTTGTAATGAGATTATTTTGCTTTTCTGATTAAATGACATTTTCACCCTTCCCATGTCAGCTGCATAGTCTAGGTGTTGGTCTGGTATACATGAAATATCCCCATATCATGACCTCTAGACAGGTCAGAGGCTTAACAACTCTTTCTCAAGCCTAGGCCTTCCTGCCTGACTTTTCCATATGTTTCTCCCAGGTGAAGCTGCTGTTCTTCCCTGGAGGTATTCAGGAACATAATACTCATACTTCACCTTAGGGTTCCATTCTTCAAATGGCCTATTTCTTCTTGGGTTGCTTTTGGTTTGCTCTTGGTCTCCTTTTCCAGCCTCCCTTGGAGTAAAAATGGGCATGTGTGTCTGTGCTCCAGGAGCAGTCACTGGTGCAAGTGTAGATCTCTCATGGGTGAAGGACATTTATAAATGCCTCCTTAGGTGTCCTTCTGTTCTTTTCCTCCTGTTCTTCCTGGGTTTATTGTTCATGTTTTACAACACACACTTAAAACACTGAGTTTTACAAGATAAACTTGGTAGCCTCTGCCATACCGGTTTTATTCTGTTTTGTTGTCCACCATCATTGCCAAAGATGTCTTTGCAAAAACATGACTTACATGTCAAAATCACCTCTTTTGATACAGGTTAAAAATATTGGAAATTGGCTCTCTCAGATGTGATTTGAGGCAGAGGGAATGATAGCTGTTCAGTTTACAAAGCTTTGGAACACAGCTGGAATCGGTTGCTCAGTTCTCCACTACTGTTATCTTTGTGCCTACCTCTTAATCACATATAAAAAAAGCATCTATCACAACTGGCTCCCCAGGGAACACAGGCAATAGTCTTTTAAAATAAATACCAATTTTCACTCAAATTAACTCATTTTTTTGAATAGAATTTCTGAAAGATATAAAATATAGTGATATTTCAGATAAAATAATGTCATTAACACTGTCTATGAGCTTTCAAGAGCAAAGTGGCAAACTTTTTTATATTTTATTTTATCACAGTATTGATAGAAGAGAAGACTATATTCCTAGGGGTCCAGCAAATTTGATGGTATTATAATAGTTTTACTGTAAATGTGAATGTGCAGAACAAATATTTACTAATATAAACTTTTGTTCATAATTCTGCAGGAGAATTTAAACAAGCTGATGACCAATCTGCGCAGCACCCACCCACATTTTGTGAGATGCATCATCCCCAATGAAATAAAAACACCTGGTAATAGCCTCATGTACATAAAGATTTTCCTGTGATACTGAAAATCTCTGTGTTGCAACCCACAATATTCACTTGTGTTTTTAATTGTTAGGTGCTATGGAGCATGAGCTGGTGCTGCACCAGCTTCGGTGCAACGGCGTGTTGGAAGGGATCAGAATTTGCAGGAAAGGATTCCCCAGCAGAGTTCTCTATGCTGATTTTAAGCAGAGGTTGGGTTTCTCCAGCATACTGTCTTATTATAGCTAAGTCCACATGTATACAACCTTAAACTGGTGCGACAATTTAGGGCCTTGTTATGGCATTTATGTATCTTCTGTAGGGACAGGATAAGTACTCTTTGTTTTCTTTAATCAGCACCTTATGTCTCACCTGTTCTCTTGATAGCATTACATGACTGATAGAAAGCAAACAGAACATACTGGTATGCTCCCTAGAAAGGTCCTGACATTGTTGCAAGAACAGATGGTATTTATATAAACAATTATCAGGGGGCAAAAATGGTTAAGTGTTCCCTAAGGGAAGAACTGGGAGCTGAAGGTGATGACAGGGCAGACCCTCACCAACACCACCCAACAGGGTACAGTCCAAAGGGTCTGAACACAGTAGCCAGAGCTGGGTCTGTTAAGGGGTCCGTCAATGGCCTTAGACAAGGCAAGTATTGAATTAGATCCAGGGGCCATCCAGGTTGTCCTGTCAGGACCAGCAAGAGATGAGGCTAGAGACAGCACTGGAAACCATGCTACAATATCTGCACAAGAACTCCATGGAAGAGGAAACTACCTACAGCATAGGTCCAAGGTCCACTGAGAGAGCAAAGCCAGAGACTAGTTTGGAGAACAGCTATGATGTAACTCATGTAAGAAATGAGATCCCAGGCCTAAGCTGAAATAGAGCTCATAGGCCCAAGGGGGAGGCCTAGGTGAAGCTCATCAGGGCTGCTAAGACCTATTGATGCCTTCAGGGCCCTGGGAGAAATATGGTTACTTAGAGACAGACTAGACAGTGTGCCAGGTTTCCTTCCAGTTTCAAATTCCAAAATAATGCAGGTTCTTCTGTAACCTCTATGTGTTATTTAAATAATGCAATCATTATAATATTTAACAGTTTCCATTTTTTTAAACTATTTTACTGTCAATGATACTGTAGTATCATCTACTCCACACAGAATTATAATGAGTAAATTCTATCAAAAGGTTTTCACATTGCTCAGAAAATGTATATCTGATAAATGTCTCAGACAATCAATCAAGGTTCAGCTAAGACATTGTCCTGCCATGCTGGGAATCTAGCAAGTTTGTATTGGCTTGGGTAATAAGAATATCCTTACATTCTCCTTTTTCCTACAGATACAGAGTGCTGAATGCAAGTGCTGTCCCAGAGGGACAGTTCATGGATAGCAAGAAAGCTTCTGAGAAGCTCCTTGGGTCTATTGCCATTGATCACACCCAGTACAAATTTGGTCATACCAAGGTACAAGTACAACTGGGTTAAAATAGAGATTTGTTACAGCTTTGTTACAGAAATATTGAGATAGGTATGAATGAAATATGAATAGAAATGTACATGCACAAAAGCACTAGAAATAAAACCAGTGCAAGGACTAAAGAAACAGTATGCATAAATAGTCGAGGACATGTTTGCCAGCAGTAAAAGTGGTAGCATTCGTAACTGGCAGCAGGAAGATGTAGCTTGCACCAAGACCACAGGGTAGTCTCATCAGCAGAGAGTCTGTGCTCTGTTAACTAGGATGATGGCAACAGAAAGACTGTATCCAAAAGACAGAGAAAATGAGGAAACAAAAGAAATGGGACAGAAGCCTTCACTGAGTTTTGTGAAGTAAGAAGCAATATTCTGAGGTGAAAGAACATTCTACAAAGTCACTGATTCCTAAAAGGGATAAAAAAGCATCTCCGGTTACCAGTTTGTCACTGCCCATGAAAATTAAACTAGAGGATGTAGTGAGGAATCAGTAGTTGAAATTCCTTGTCTTCTGTGTATCAGATGAGTCATACTATTCAGACTGCCTGGGCACATACACATTGGTGTTTGTGGCTGTATTGGTGTGAAAGTTTGAGAGGTTAGAGTCAATTTAGAAAACTAAATAAAATAAAATTATCACCTTCCCCTTCCATAAAGTCTCAGTGACTTTGGTAACAGTAATTCTCATGGAAATATAATCTGTGTTTTGATGACGTTGTAATGTATTATGTCATCCCCTTTCTCCAGGTGTTCTTCAAAGCTGGGCTTATAGGCCTTCTGGAGGAGATGAGGGATGAGAAACTGGCACAACTCATGACTCGCACACAAGCCAGGTGCAGGGGCTTCCTGATGAGAGTGGAGTACCAGAGAATGGTGCAGAGGAGGTATATATTCTTCTTAAAGTTCATGTAATTGCCCATTGCTTCTGCAGGCATCACACTGATAATTCTTTCTATGTGTCCTGAGCAACTTGCTCTACTTGACTGTGCTTGAGCAGGAGGGATTGGATAAGCTGTCCTCCAGAGATCTCATCCATCTTCAACCACTCTGTGATTCTGTCATTCTGATTTGCATTACAGGGAGTCCATCTTCTGCATCCAGTACAACATCCGTGCATTCATGAACGTGAAGCACTGGCCCTGGATGAAGCTGTTCTTCAAGATCAAGCCCTTGCTGAAGAGTGCAGAATCTGAGAAGGAGATGGCCAACATGAAGGAGGAGTTTGAGAAAACCAAGGAAGAGCTTGCAAAGTCTGAGGCAAAGAGGAAGGAGCTGGAGGAGAAAATGGTGAAATTGGTGCAGGAGAAGAATGATCTGCAGCTCCAAGTGCAGGCTGTGAGTAACATCAGTGCACTCCACACTTCTTGGTTAGTAGAAAATGAAGATCAAACACGCCTTCCAAAGAACAGAATCCTATAAGACAAATTAATCTGCAGAGCAACCATGGTGAAACTGAAATTCACAAATAAAAGCCATGCATAAGACTGTGCTATATGTGGCCCTGGCAGGTGATTTGGATTGGTGGGACTTCAAACTTACATCCCCACAGATTCAATGTAGAGAAGAAAACATCTTCAGTACAAGTATATGTGTATATGCATAATATACAAAAACTGGAGATATATATATGACAGATATATATGAAAAATTTGTAAACATATATGTGTAAATATATATGTTTATTATATATGTACATCTCAAGTATATATATAAAATTGTATCTATAAAGTATAAACTATATGTATATACATACACAGTGTGGTGTATATATATAAAGTACATGTGACTATATAGTCACACTCTAACTAAAAATTTGTCTGAATTACTCTAATAGGAACAAGAGTAAACAGAGGTGTGAAACGATTTCCACAATTTTAGAGGCTTCAAAATATGGTGAAAATCATGTGAGACATCTTTATCCTGAGAATACAGGTTCAATTTTTCTGAAAGAGCATTTCCTTTGGGAGTCAGGACTGTGGGTCCCAAAGCTTAACCAGAATAGTTAATACAGTATTTAATAATGATCACTGAGGCAAAGGTCAACAGAAACCACTAGAACATATATGTGAATCTATAGTTTCATTGTAAAAAATCACTTCAGTGAAGAATATGAAACTGATTATGTCATATGTAATAGTCTAATAAACAAAATTGAATGACTGAAAAAATCACAAGATAAAACTAGTAATAAGAACTGCAAAAATACTTTTTATTGTAGGAAGCAGATAACTTGGCTGATGCTGAAGAAAGATGTGACCAGCTGATAAAAACAAAACTTCAGCTGGAAGCAAAAGTTAAAGAGATAATTGAAAGAGCAGAAGATGAGGAGGAAATTAATGCCGAGCTGACAGCCAAGAAGAGGAAACTGGAGGATGAATGCTCAGAGCTGAAGAATGACATCGATGAACTTGAGATAACACTGGCCAAGGTTGAGAAGGAAAAATATGCCACTGAAAACAAGGTATAAAACAGAATTTGGGGTTCACATTCAGGGAAAATAGATCCATTTCCAATTCTTGTAATAAGATAGCTTTCTTTTTAAGGTGAAAAACCTGACAGAGGAGATGGCAGCCCTGGACGAGACCATTGCCAAGCTGACAAAAGAGAAGAAAGCCCTCCAAGAGGCCCATCAGCAGACACTGGATGACCTGCAGGTAGAAGAGGACAAAGTCAATACGCTGACCAAAGCTAAGACCAAGCTGGAGCAGCAAGTGGATGACGTAAGCACAGAGGGGTACAGCAAAAACAGGACAGGCAATAGAGTTAAACCTGACTGGTGGAGCAATGACGGTCTTGTTTGTTTTAGCTGGAAGGGTCCTTGGAGCAAGAGAAGAAGCTGCGCATGGACCTTGAGAGAGCCAAGAGGAAACTCGAAGGAGACCTGAAGCTGGCCCATGACACCATAATGGACTTGGAAAATGATAAGCAGCAGCTGGATGAGAAACTGAAGAAGTAAGTGTGGCTGTGGGGCACCTGAGTGCTGGGCTGGTGCACTTGTCTTTTCTCTTTGAGCTCTGACACGGTTTGCTTTGCCCACAGGAAAGACTTTGAAATCAGCCAGATCCAGAGCAAAATCGAGGATGAGCAAGCCCTGGGCATGCAATTACAGAAGAAGATCAAGGAGCTGCAGGCAAGCCTCTGTCCCTTGCCCCCTCTC